GTAATAACTATGTATGGTGTCAGTTGGGTACTAGACCTCTTGGAGGGATCACTTTATAAGTTATGTAAACGTCTAACCACTATGCTGCACACCTGAAACTGATAAAATATTGAATGTCAAAAGTAATTGAAAAATTAAAAAAATAACATTTAAAAAAGCAAATGCCTTAGTGATGATGATATATATAAATAAACCAATAAAAGAATAATTATTTATTCACCAAACATAAATTAACATTCAAAATTGTATGAGTGGGGCTATTAATGCCTTAGGAGCCAGAGAATTATTTTTGAAAGTTGATTCCCAAAGGAGGTGATTTAAGCTCCGATTTAGAAAGTTTAGGCAGAGATCTATTTCCTGAGATGCGTCTTTTGAGACTTTAAATCAAAGCAACCATTCATGAGTTAGATCAGTTTAGTTCCTGAGTGCCCCAACTCTGATGTAACCATCATACACACTGGCAGAAAGTAGACTTCCTTACAGAGATTTGCAAAGAACCAATAATTTAAATTTGAGTTGGTCACATAGAGAAGTGGAAATAGTTACTACTACTAATAATAATGGCTAATATTTATTGAGTGCTTACTATATGCCAGGCACAATACTAGGTGGATCTCATTGACCCTCAAAGCAACCTTTACAGACAAGAAAACTGAGGCTTAGTGAATTAGGTAACTTGGGGATGCATGGCTAGCGGTAGAGAGGGAACAAGACTGAGGCTTGAGCTACACAGAAAGCACATAGAGAAGTCTGTGGGATAACCTGCGGTTTTCTTCTTTACAAGAGAAAAGGAAATGAAGAATAAAGACAGCCATAAAATGGTTCAAGTACAACGTGTGACATTGCCAAAAACAACACAACAGGCCCAAAATGGAGTCACTTACACTAAGCACCATGTCACCAAACTGAGTCTTAATTATAGTTTCAACTCTCCCAAAAGTGGAATCTTAAACTGATCAGCACCTGTTAGATAATCCACCTCCTGCCATCCACTAAAGGAGAATAACCTTGCAAAAACCAATCAACCTTTTTTTTTGCCAATATAACTTTCTTATTCCTGTTCCCTTCCTCCTATGAAAGGCTTTCATTTTGTACAGCTCCTTGGAGCCCCTTTCTATCTGCTAGATGGGATGCTGCTCAATTCCTGAATCATTAAATAAAGCCAGTAAGATCTTTGTACTCAGTTAAAAAAATTTTTTAACAGCATGGTTTTTCCATTCAAGGCGTATATGGAACGGAAGCTAGAGCCAAATCTCCTTTAAAGCTACATTAAATGAACTCGATTGCTCAAAATTTTAAACAAAACACACATTATTTCCCTCTCACTTTTTAATTTTAAATCAGGTTCTGTTTATTATAGCAGGGTGGTACCCCAAGCTGTAAGAAAAAGACACAGAGGTGCAGACTCACCCTGAAGTGGAGTTCCTCGCCTTGGAGGCTCAAATCAAGACAGAAAACGAAGTGGGTGAAGTGCCTCCATTTCCTACCGTTCAGGAGAATGACTGGGTGCCAGGGGATGACATGGGTTTGGCCCCTCTGAATTGGAAGTTTATCTTGGGTCACATGAGGTACAGCTGAGGCTTATGCCCCTGAAGGCCAGATTCGAGGATGGTGGCAGTGTGGAATAGCAAGTATGGGCTTTAGCCAAACCCAGACACCAATTCACACCCCGCACACCCTGGCTCTGCCTCGAACTAGCAGTGCGACTCCAAACACCTCAGTTTCATTGCACTTATGAGTTGAATATGATACCTCGAACCTCACAACAGCCCAACAAGATGACAATCCCTATTGCATTTTACAGATGTGAAAACTGAGACGCAGAGAAATAAGGAATGAAAGACCTCGAGATGGCTCCAAGACCATTGCCCTCTCCCTCGCAGAAGATCACCTACCCTCCCTTGCTCCCCTAGCTTCGCATAACCTCTCTGAGCTGTCTCTCTAGTCTCCTCTAGTTTGTTTGCCTAAACAAATTGAACAATGAATTTGAATTCCCTGAACATGACATGGCAGGATGGAAGGCAAATCCACCCATGTTGGTCAGAGACGAAAAATATGCTTTGTATAATTCGCAGAGCTGATAAACAGCCAAAATAAGCGAGGGCTGAATGTAAAAACTTTTGAGTTAGCGCAGATCGCTCACTCACCATCCTATTCCCAGGTCTTCTTTACTAATAATTGATGACTTAATCATGACAATCCAGAGAAATATTTTCCATAAAAACATCATGCGTTAGCAAGTCTAATCAATGCTACATACTTACCTGGTCCCCTGAGAATTTATATTTGAACTTGTTAGTTATGTGAACGTGAGTGAGCCACTTGCCTTTTCTGGTCTCATTTCCTTTATCTGTATAAAGGGGAAAGTATTATTATCCAACTCATAGGGTTGTTACGAGAATGAAATGACTGTGTGGAAAGAACTGAGAAGCGCATAGTACGTGCTACATCCACGTTTTGGTTTTAGGTTCACCCAGTGTGGAGCACAATGTCTTCTACGGAGTTCTGACCAAAGCAGCCCAGCTTAGATGCCTAGCT